GGAAGAGCGACCCTGGTCAGGGAGGCCTGTGAAGGCGCGAACCGGACGCCCTGGGCAAGGGGCAGCGGGACGCTGAGCGAGCGCTCGTGTGGAGGTGCGCGGGGAAGGCCGGTGGCCTCCTGTCGACAGGAAGCTCGGTTTAGCCAGAGAAGTGTGGGCAGCGTCAGACAGCCAGGAAAGATGACATTCCAGGCCCCCGCTTAGCAAGCCATCGGGCCTAACAGAATATTCTATCTTTAGGTATGACGCCCTGGGCAAGGGGCAGCGGGACGCTGAGCGAGCGCTCGTGTGGAGGTGCGCGGGGAAGGCCGGTGGCCTCCTGTCGACAGGAAGCTCGGTTTAGCCAGAGAAGTGTGGGCAGCGTCAGACAGCCAGGAAAGATGACATTCCAGGCCCCCGCTTAGCAAGCCATCGGGCCTAACAGAATATTCTATCTTTAGGTATTTTTAATTCATTTGTCAGAGTTCTTGGGGGCATATTTTCTGGTATTTTACCTTCTCCCTACTCAATTTCCAGCCAGTTTTCTCTTTCCTGGGATCCTGGTCACACTCGGAGGGGCCAGCAGGCCCTTGACGGGGATCTAATCCTGGAGTGGAAGCTGTCCCCTCCGCCCAGGGCTGTCCCTGGCTGGGCTCATGGCCTCCTTGGGACAGACAGGGTTTAAATATCCTGATGAGTAATGTGGGGAAACCAAGTCCGAGGGAAGCTTCTGGAAGGACAAAGTGAAAGTGAAATGTTTCCCAGATATTTTGATGTGAGGGGAAGATTTTTAAATGAAAATACATGAGGAAATGGTACGACTCCGATATTTGCATTTAAATCTCTTTGAGTGACAGCGGCGATTTCCTTCATAAGGTCGCGGCTGGGAACCAACTAGCTGGTAAAAAACGTCACAGTTGGCCTCTTCCAGGAGACACGGCTGAGCTGAAAAAGAAAAAAGTAGGGAAAAAAAATCTTTCCCATGCTGTGTCGCCTGCTTGTCCCTGAGCCCTCCTGCTTCGTGGGTAGGGCGGCCACACTTGGCGCCTGGCGGGCGCTCAGGGATTATGAGTAAAGGAATGAACGGATGAGGAAATGGGGAGAAAGGGAAAGCTGGGGTTCACTGGGCTCTGACAGCCTTCAGGGGTTACTGCTGGGGCGGTGGCTCCAGGCAGGAGGCCAGGACACGGCCCAGCCCTGGGGATTTGGGCGGAGCCGCTGAGGGTGCCCAGTAGGAAGGCGGCACTGGGTTGGGCCTAAGAGAACCAATAGGAAGTAGGGACCTGCTTTTGCACTGAGGGCAGCCCCGCTGCCCGGGCCGGGGGAGGGGTCTCCCAGGGAAGACTGGCTCAGGGCCTGGCTGGCTGGCAGGGAAGGCCTGGTGGAGGTGGGCCAGCAGGGGGACGGAGCACCTGCCAGCGCCGCCCTGGGCCTTCAAGGCTGTGGAGGGCCCCGCCGGCCCCGCCTGACCAGGCCCACGGGCCGCGGCGCCCACAGACCAGCACTGCGGTGGCGAGCTCGGCGACTACACGGGCTACATCGAGTCCCCCAACTACCCCGGCGACTACCCGGCCAACGCGGAGTGCGTATGGCACATCTCGCCGCCCCCTAAGCGCAGGATCCTCATCGTGGTCCCTGAGATCTTCCTGCCCATCGAGGATGAGTGCGGGGACGTCCTGGTCATGCGGAAGAGTGGTATGCGCCCGCGGGGGGCGGGGCCTCGGCCGGCCACGCCCACCCAG